TTTGCGAATGTAGCACATAATTAGCACATAAAGAGCACAAAATGTTAAGACAAAGAAATTTGAATTTTGTAAAGGTGGGGGTGCCAGCTTTACGCACCTGAATTTCGACATACCCGGTTAACAGGTTCATAAATTCATACAGATACACGTCCCGATTTCATGAGAGGACCCGAGTCATGCTCTCGTGTTCCGGTATGACCATGCTCCTTTTAACTTCTTTGGGGAATAATGCATCTTCTTTCCAGGAAAGGGCGATTCTATTGAAATTCGTTCTCTGTTCCGAGAGGCACCATCTGTGCCTTCGCGTCGCCATAAGGAGATCTTTGTATGACATCGCCATTCGTGGTGGTAAGGTGCGCATGTACGTACAGCAAGGTATGCATTCCATGTTGCAGGTACGGCGATGGCGAGTGCATAAGATGCTTCCGGCTCATGCGGAGGTCGCATAATGTCATCGAGGTGTTCTCCGAGAACTTGAACAGGTGTTACACCAACGAGTCAGGTGCCACTGCCTCCTGTGCAACGCTCAACTCGACGGCCATGCTCTACCGTGAGTGCATATTCTGCATATATGTGCATAAACATGGATTACCCTCTAGAAAGTGCCTGCAGTCGCGCGTTAACTGGCACGTGTTAATGATCAATTAGTTTCTCTATTTGCCGGCTCTTGATGGGTCGCGTCATTATTGCACGAAGAAGGGTAAATTGGAAAAACGGAAAAAGAAAATTTGGATACATGTGATAATTTATATTATACCTCATTCACACGCATTGGAAATGCATTGTGCTGGTGTAGACGATGAGTTGGAAGGGAGAGGACCTCGGTAACAAATTAGAGCAAGGATTCATGATGGATTTAATTTGTACGTGTCATTCGCTGATGTATGTTCAATTTTATGTATGCAAATTAAGGTGATATGAAAGAGTCCGCCTATACATATCTGAGAAGTCAAATCGTTGGGGAAAGTATTCTCCGAATTGAGTGTACCGATTCATTTCAAATTTTATCACGTGAATATGGAGGCCCTAAAGTAGGCCCTGAAACTCACGAAATTTCATTTTTCATCAAAATGTATTAAATTGTCATGGACTAGAACCAACATGGCGTGGTCAGTGCACGTTTTCAATGTTTTACGCTTCTTGGAGGGGTAGAATCGAAAATGAAGAGTTTCAGGACCTAGCTCGAACAATTCAGAATACCGTAAAAATGAAATAATATAGTCAGATGGGAAAATATAAAAAATACTTTCACCAATGATTCCAAGAGAATGCTTGTCTTGTGGTTAATACTTGTTTTTAGAGAAAAAAATTTAGTTGCAGCTAAACGTCACAGATGGCGACGTTGGTCCTAAACAGTCGTTAGAATAATGAATTCCCGGGATTTCGACCGTTTTACATCGATCTCGTCATCATTATTTTACTGAAATGACATATGGATCGCTTCAGTTGGTATAATTCTCAATGTAGACTGTAAAAGATTTCAACATAAATATAAATATCGGTAATAGGACGCGCTTATTTGATCGACGCTGATTACATTTCTCAGCGCCTTTCATATCATCTTAAATCCGGGAATTTGTGTAAAATTAAAATTGGTAACATCGGTTTAAAACCCGATAGCGTGTGCTCAAATTTCTGTGGGGTCGGGTGACGTGGTGCTTTTCACACCTCTTTGTTGTAAATTTATACTTATCTTTCTCGGCATGGATAATAAGACTTGTACAGAGGGAAAGGCAGGGACATCCGTGTAGAACCGATTACTGACCTAGCTCCTTTAACAGTTCATTGCGGGCGTTAAATGAATCATTGTAATGGACGTAACGTCATGACTTTCATAAGTGACGGACTCGTTTCAAGTTACTCAACCTTCCTCGGTACGAGGTTAGTACTCGCCTTCTTTTTGCCTACGCCAAGTTTTGCAATTTTTGCAATTACTTTTATGCCGTGAATTAAATCACACTACGGAAACATAAAACACTCGAGGGAGCTTACTGTAAAAATATGATAATAAATAAAATGACGGGCTAGAGTGACCAGTAGGTTGTAATTGAACGATATTAATGACCAATTGTACCAATCGAAGGCATCGATTTCCTTTCCATTCTAGAGTTTTTCGACCTCGAGGTCGCTGGTCGCACTTCCGCTTCTTCGAGCGAGCTGACTGACAATTAGCATGCAGAGTCGATCGGCTGTGGCAAATTAGCGAGGACTTATTAATTAGGGCTAATTAGGCCTGGATCGGGGGAAGTAATGAAACTTGCATAACGAAAGAGGGGCAATTACATGGCGTGCGTGATCGCGCACACGACCGGCTAGATCGGCGCGTGTTTTATGTGCGTACCCTTTCTCACGAATGCGTGCATTGAAATTCGAAGTGCTCGCGAGTGCGATCTCCCCCCATTAGCATAATCGGTACGCTTATGTACGTAACTGCACGCATCTACGTACACCGCGGGACAATGCACTTATCGCGCTGCAATGGGAAATTATGACATTTAAGGTCACCATCTCAACCTCCACCTTGACCCGAAAAATCTACGAAATTCCTGTACTACTTCGATTTTTATAATTTTTATAATTTACAATGAAACCTATGTAATTTATAAGAATGAACACGCTGACAGGAAGGTACAATGATGTTGACCGAATGATTTTCTCGATACTAGGGTAGATGGAATATTTGTCAGTAACGAACATGTCAGGTGCATATAATTTTTTTAATTTACAATGAAACCTATATAATTTATAAGAATGAACACGCTGACAGGAAGGTACAATGATGTTGACCGAATGATTTTCTCGATACTAGGGTAAATAGAATATTTGCCAGTAACGAACATGTCAGGTGCATATAATTTTTTTAATTTACAATGAAACCTATATAATGTATAAGAATGAACACTCTGACAGGAAGGTACAATGATTTTGAGCGATTGATTTTCTCGATACTAGGGTAGATGGAATATTTGCCAGTAACGAACAAGTCAGGTGCATTACTGCACGACAGGTGCAGCACTGCCATTCTCTCGATGATTCGAGTTCGCATGTCATGATCAAGGGAAAGGTTCAATGATTTCAAATTAATTTTCCATGAATTCCCTAATGGCCCATTCGTGTTCGGATGTTCGCAATAATTGCGGAGCAATCTCGAAATAACGTCGAGATAATCGCCGAGCTCGTAAGAAAAGCATGGTAACTCGATTTGCGGGGGAAATGGCAAGCACGCAGAAACGAGCGGAAGGAAAACGTATCAACCACCGCTCGCGAAAATAGCAAAGAGTGTCTTCGCTTTTTCGAGCTCAGGATTATGCGAATAGCTGCGCGCATGTTCTAAGCTTTACTGCCGGTACTTGCAGCATTCCTTCGCTCCCGTGAGGTGCATACCAAGGAGGGAAGTTCTAAAACGATCCTAAATAAATATCCACGATAGTCGAATCACCGTTGTCGATGTTTTTTCCATTTTTCCTTAAAAGCACCTGATAAAGGAATAAACATACATTTCAAAATTAGACTTCTCTCTGTTTTATTCGTTGTTGGATTCAGGGAACATCCGAACAAATTTCTTATTTTTATTTTTATTTTTTATTTTAGCAAANAAAATATTTTACGCAATTAACAAAACGAATTAACTACACACTTTGCAACCAAGAGCTTGGTCAAATGAACTAAACTTCAGTTCACTCAAGCAAAACATTTTCAAAATTAGACTTCTCTCTGTTTTATTCGTTGTTGGATTCAGGGAACATCCGAACAAATTTCTTATTTTTATTTTTATTTTTTATTTTAGCAAAATTACATCTTTCTTCTTAAAGTATGGTGTTATGTCCGTGGTATGATATCGCTATATTTCTGTATGATTACCGGACCTGTCCGTGACATTGACTGGACACGCTCGATGCGGTCCACTCGTTCGGAACTTAACCATAACCACGTTCCTTGGTCTCTCTCTTTCCCTCTCTCGAGTCATGGTTAGTGGAGCTCTCGACTTTGCCAGGTAGCCGGCCTATGAATGCAATCATTCCAGTTTATAGTTTCCACCCACCTGACAGCCCTGACCTGTCCACGACAGGTGGATCTACTTGAAAGATCGCGCGTCATGCCCCGCAAAATAATGGCCTTGTTAGCTCGATTTCGCGGGCAACCTGTTACAAGATGTCAATTTATTATCACTATATATNATATTATAAATTTATTACACATATGTACTAAATTTACAATATATGTTATACATTTTATTTGAAAATATGTTACAAAATTAGTATACCATGTCTGAATAAAACTTCCAAGAAAAATGTTATAAAATTATAATTTTCTCTTTTTAACAGTGTAGGGTATGTGTAACTGCTATATACGAAATTCGGCAAGTCTTCCTCGGGTGGTCGCGTTTCTCCGTTTCCGGTCGTTTTTTGCTCCCCTCGTAGAGGAGGTCTCGGCGGTTTCATTCATCGAGCATTGAGACATCGGCGAGGATCCGAGGGGCCCCTGGCATCAAAAGAAGCGAATCGATCGCCGGTCGCAAAAAGTTCGAAAGAAGTCGGGGCTCGGTAATGAGCGAGGTCTCCCGGTACCCCGAAAAACCGAAGGCTCGCGGTTCACTTCGGCATTCGTCGTCTTCAGGGATGCGTAACGCCGATCGTTCTCTCCCGTTGGGCCTTTTCGCTCGACCAGCTCCGAGAGACCTCGAAAGAAACTAGAGTCCCCCACGGATGCCGAGTGCTTGGCCTCCCCTTAGGCACGTAGTAAATACGCTTCGTATCAATGAAAGATCATTGCCGAGCTGGCCGGCAGCTACAAAGGGTTGACTCGCTTTTTCCAATCCCCGGAGTTGGCCAACGTCGCCGACCCGAGGGGGCGTTTTTGCTCCGGGAGTGTTATTATCGTGTTTAGAGATTTACTTCAGGCCTAAAAAGCTGTAAGAGAAATGCTATTACTTGAAATGGGGTATTTGGTTTGAAGGCTTGTTCGACTTGTTTCAATATGTAGATTGTACGCGTGTAAATGCGTTAAAACTCGAATGCAGAAAAAAATTGGTCGAATCGATCACATTTTTGTTGATTCTATTGTAGAATATGGTTATTTTATGCACAATAAGATATTTGGTTGACGTGACAAAATCCTTTGGTTAGTAACTTTTGATTAATTACACTCAATATTATGGTAAATCACACCAAATATTAAAGTAAGCTGGTACATTTAACCAATATATTTGATTTATTGATGAAAATATTTTACGCAATTAACAAAACGAATTAACTACACACTTTGCAACCAAGAGCTTGGTCAAATGAACTAAACTTCAGTTCACTCAAGCAAAACATTTTTTAAAATTATCCGAATGTAGTCAATCGATCGATTTTGTTCAATGAACGAACATTTTTTTTCTGCAAACGGGATGATAGAGGTTTTTACGTGGACGATAATCCAAGGAGAGGTGAATCGGAGTGAAATCCGACAGTCTGACCGACCAAGGAATGTCACGTTCTTGCAGTCGAAGCGCAAGAAAGAAGCGAAGCAAGCGGAAGCGGACCGAGAAAAAGTAGAAGACGTGGCAGAAGCGTCTACCAGATAGTCTCGAAGCAACCTGTCGCTCAGCTATCTTTACCGTGTCTAAAGTGAATTTGTCACGGGACATGACAACGCTGACACTCGACATTCCAACTGCGAGAGTGCCACGAGAAAACACTTGCGTTATATAGTCTCGCCAGTTCGTTTGCTGAAGATGCCAACATCAGTTGAAGCATTCCGAGCTCCCGAGTGTTGTTTGACAAAAAACACGTGAAAACCTGATTAACCGAGCAGGCTATTTTTATTTACGAACTTCCACTCGGACGGAAATAAATCTACGTTCTTCTACCCTGAGAGAAGAAATCGCTATCTAAAAAACGCTTCGAACAAATCTTTACTGGTTGCTATAAAAAATAGGTTGAAGAGTCGACCAAATGAGATTAAGACATTACTCAATTTTCTTCAACTCGGTTTCACCAAGTTCGTTTGACTCATTGTTAGAATGAGAAGTTGATTCACTTAATTTGCACACAGAATTCTTTTTACGAGATTATTTCCACTTGATACAAACGTACCATCTCACGGGTTGCAACGCCGATGATCTTACAAAATTAATTTCACTGGAGACGAGAAATTTGTTTAACAAAATACGTTTAGATTGCCGCGAGTAATTAATTTACCCTAGGAAATACTTTCCGTTCAGTGCTTGAAGTGAACAAACCACCTAAAAAAAAATTCCTTAAAAAAATTGTCGAAAATGCCACTCAATAAGTGGAAACCGAGATTTTTCAACTATTGGGTTGATGCACAAGTAATGGCGCTTTTTTACACGTAACGTAACGTGTTAAAAATGTCATTACTTATACATCATACGTCTTTTTTCACCAAGAATGATATGGATTTTAAAAATCCTTAAATCTAACCAGATAAATTTCATAGGATTTCATAGGACATTTAATAGGAGCACTTTCCTCTTTGATTTTTTCATCTGGAAAAAATATAAGTTCCTCGACGCTTCCGCCTTCCTTCGCAAATGTAAACTCGAGAATCCTGCGGATTCTCGACTCGGGGTATCGCTCGTCCTCGGGCTATCGGTGACACCGCCCGAGCCTGACGGGGAGAACTGTCTCCGATTTCTCAACAAGGAAGCCACTGACAAGGAATCCCGCAAAAATGTCCTGGACATATCGATGCTTCGACCACGTAAGACCTCCAAAGAGGAAGGAAAGGGCGGGGACGCGCCTCTTGCGGGAAAACGGTGTGGAGTTTCAGCTACTTCCTGCCCCGGGGTGGTTCCCATTGTGCGTTTCGTGTGGGTGTTTCGCCTGTGCCGAAGGCTTGCGAAACTTTGTATTGGTACATGTATTCTCGAAAAACGTGGGGCCGCGACGTTTCCACGGGAAGCTCTATGATTTATTGCACCGGATTATTGAGAACCCGACTCACGTTGTGCGGCTCCACTCGGCGGGCATCCGTTTCTGTGTATGCGACTCCTATTGTGTTACACGAGTCCCTCGTATGCGGACGAGTGTAGTTCTATTCATCCTCCGCAGTCGCATTAATATTCCCGGATATCTCGGAAGAAATGTCATCCTGGGAAAAGATCGGCCAATTCATCGCCGATGGTCGACGCAAACCAGCGAGGGTGCGCTTTGGGTTTGCTACCCCTGGGTGGTCGTCTCTAGAAAATATTCATTTTCGGGGCAAACTTAATTTCAAATTTATCTTGCAACTTCTGGTGTTAAAGAGGTGGAGTGTATAAAAAACTGAAAAACATATTTTTTTTTTGTATTTAATATTAATTTCATCGCCGATGGTCGACGCAAACCAACGAGGGTGCGCTTTAGGTTTGCTGCCCCTGGGTGGCCGTCTCTAGAAAATATTCATTTTCGGGGCAAACTTAATTTCAAATTTGTCTTGCAACTTCTGGCGTTAAAGAGGTGGAGTGTATAAAAAACTGAAAAACATATTTTTTTTGTTGTATTTAATATTAATTTCATCGCCGATGGTCGATGCAAACCACCGAGGGTGCGCTTTGGGTTTGCTGCCCCTGGGTGGTCGTCTCTAGAAAATATTCATTTTCGGGGCAAACTTAATTTCAAATTTGTCTTGCAACTTCTGGATCACTGTTAGGGATCAATTATTATAGTGATTTTAGTTGGAATCATTTTTTAAGTGAAACTTCTTACGTCAATGTAGGGTGAGTTCTCGCGTTAAAGAGGTGGAGTGTATAAAAAACTGAAAAACATATTTTTTTTGTTGTATTTAATATTAATTTCATTCATCTTTGTATGTTAGTCCTAACACGATTTACGTAAACGTTTTCGCTATTGTTATTTAATTTTATACTCTTGGCGTGGCAAAGTTGACGCTAAAATTGACGCTCATTACCATTGGTATCCTATCCCAATTCTTTTTTCTATAGGTAATTACTATGTATATTAATGTTTATGTGTTAATCATGGAATACCCAGGAGAAACAGTACTGACCATTTAAAGTCGATTTGAGAAAGAATAATTAAGAATGATTAGTGATAATTTTCTGTAACTTTGGAGTTTCACGTCGTGTGACCGCTACGCACCGATTTTTTTCGTACAGATACCCGTGGAGTTGTTGGATAAATGAAAAATTAAGTTTCATCCGTGGATTATTTTTTCTAATAAATATATAAATACTAAGGATAAAAAATAAACTGGTGCCTGATGTGTACATGTCCAAGGAAAAGAAAAATATTATCTAATCGGTAGATCACTTTAATTTTTCGATGCAACTGCACCTATGACTATGCTACTAACAAAGCATAATAGTTGAATCGCGAACCAAAGTACATAGATAGAACTAGAAAAATGTAAAAATTAATTAGGCATATATTTTAAACGATATAACTTATAATTATGAATGACATTATTCCTTATTATTGCTGCGTACGAATTAGGAAATAAATTAAAATGTAATTTTTCAGGTACAAAGGACATCGGTGCACCGATTAGGAACGAGTATTGCCCGATAGCAGGACGTTATCGATTCAAGTACAATGTCAACGACGGCTCCGAGGAGAAGGTGGAGTGCAATAGCTTCTCTTCGGATTTTGACAATTGTCCGGACGGGTCCGTCTTCAATTTGCGATTCAAGCAGTGCTCCTTCGAAAATCATGGTAGGGCTCATTTCGAAAATCCGAACACCACAGCGTCCACTTCGATACCGAGTGAGCAATGAAATTCGAGATTAGGCTACCGCGTGTGTAATCCCAGGATTTCTTGCTTGTGCAATCCTAATTTTACTAATTATTTTGTGCTCCTTTGATGTTTATACGCCGATTTGATTAACCGATTAATGCAGTTTCCATTGCTTGTGGGATTGCCGATTTAACGATCATGAACTTCTGCCTTGGCATATACTACTGACACATTCATTAACATTTGCTTATGAAAACAGAAATTAATTGTCATTTTGTTAAATATGTATTTTCAAAATTCCACAGAATCTGAGAAAGTAACGTTGCGGCAGTATAAACTTTTGTGTGAAGATTTGCTCTGATAATGCTTACAAATGTGGTTTTATACATATAAACATTTACTACTGACATATTCATTATCATTTGCTTATGAAAACAGAAATTAATTGTCATTTTGTTAAATATGTATTTTCAAAATTCCACAGAATCTGAGAAAGTAACGTTGCGGCAATATAGACTTTTGTATGAAGATTGGCTCCGAAGATGCTTACAAATGTGGTTTTAAATAAGTTTCTTAATGTAAACGAAATGGAACGTATTTTTGTTAATGCATTTCTTATATATCGACAGACATCACGTTCAACTGCTTGGGAAACTGGGAGGGTGGTCCAGGAGGTTCTCGATATGTCGCACTTCTCGAAACGGAAGGTGGGAAACGAAGACCGCAGTATAGATGCGGTGTAAGTAGTCAAAAGGCTCACATGTTAATTTTATTAGAACATTATATATTAATTAATTTTATATTAAATAGTAATCAAGTAATTGTAAGACCTGCTAGATTAATTTAAAAATGGCTGAATGTATTGGGAAATAAACGTATACGAATGCGAGGAATATTATATATTAACATTCGTTACAGTTATATCACGTGGACAACAAGAAAGGAAAAACTTACTTGGCGTTCAGCAGCGACTCGAGTTGCACCCAAAATTTGGAAAACTCGACCAGCGGATACGAGACCCTGATCCTCAGCAAAACAACAAATCAGAAGATGGTGCCGAACTATGTGAAAACTCATTTGGCGTCGTACGTACCCATTTTCCTATTTTCTCGAATTTATCCCTTATCCGATAATATAACAAGATACTTTATCTTTTGGTTTAGATTTCCTCAATGGGCACAGGGAGAGTGGGAACAATCTCTTATCGTGAATGGCACTATGACGTTTACGGACTTGAATGGATACAACAGTTACACATTTATCACCGTAGATTCTAATGACGACACTGGACGATACGTTGTCTTCTCCAAAGATCAGTGGTAAGTAGACACGCGATTTGGCAGCTTAAAGTGGGATGAAAGGTTCATTGTAAACATATCAAAACTTCCTAATATTTTTAAAACTTTTTTCTAATTTGGGTACGCCGAATCACTTGAAACTTCACCACGTGATTATGGAAGCCCTAAGGAAAGACGCGATGCTCATGAAATTTCATTTTTCAACAAAAATATGTCCTTGGTTCTAGTCTGAGAAAAATTAACAAAATTATTTAAAATGAAATTTCATGAGCATCATGTTTCATTCTTAGGGTCTCCATAACCACCTGTTGACTTCAAAAATCATGGAATGCATTATTTTTTATTACAGTGAGCGAGAAGCTTACGTGTGTTTAATCATGAGGCAGCGAAGTGAAAACGTATTGGAATTTGCAACAGGTATGAAGCTCATCTTACAATTGGATAAACAGTAGCTTAATGATCTATTTGAATAACTTCCAATCAGTAAATTTACTACAATTTATGTAACCATAATTTTAATCGAAACATCAGCCTTCGATCTTCATTTCCGATACCTTAGAGTTCAAGTGTATGAAATCGAAAGATTTTAGGGAATTCAAAAGAAGTATTAACAATTTAATTTTTCCTGGGCAGGATCCAATTCAAGCCCGATTTATCAAAGCTATTTGTGCGACGATCCTAATCTGGATAAGCCTGTATGGATGACACAAGCACGTGAGTAAAAGTATATGCCAGATGGTTATTACCTTTTATTGATGAAATTAACGTTCTAAGTTATGGAAATTTTCATTATCAGGAATCGAGAGAGTCGTGGAATCCCCTTGTCCAATAACTGGCGAATACACGGGGAGGATAACTGATTTGCCTGGCATGTGCGCCGAGTTGAGCAGTAACTGTAACACTCGAGAAGTCATGTACTATAAAGTTACCGACTGTAAATCCGGAGAACTTTACGAGGGTAAATCTAGAGAAATCACTTACCACCCAGCAATTATTTTCACATTACTTCCATATCTGTTCCCCTAATTGCGGATCCGTTGATACAGTCTGCAAATTGTTAAACATCACGAGGTGATTTCTTGTTCACAGAACGTACGTACTTATGCCTTGGACAATGGGAAGAAAAGGGCGTCATGTACACATACACGATGAGAAACGACACAACGACGAACGAATGCTTCGTAGGATTGATTGTGAACGACGAAAAGATCTACATCAAGGAAGCTGGAGATCACTGTACTCGTGAAATCGATCCGAAAGAGCAAGGGATGCGTCTCTATAAGAAAGGTACGTTCCTTAATCGTGTTTGCACACGTTTTTAAGAGGATATGAAAGGCGCTAAGAAATTTAAACGACGTCGATAAAGTAAAATTCATCTGTACCCTTTTTGGTGGTAATGCCGTTTTGAATACTCAAGTGGTAACAGAAGCTGGCGCGTCCCATTACCGACATTTATATTTATGTTGAAATCTTTTACAGTCTACCTTGAGAATTATACGAACTGAAGGATTCCATTTGTCATTTCGGTAAAGTAATGATAAGAAGATCAATGTACAACTGCCGAAATCCCATGAATTCATGACTGTTTATATTTTGACGAACCAACGTCGCCATCTGTGACGTTTAGCTGCAACTAAATTTTTCCTCTTCAAATACGCGTTAGCCGCAGGACAAGCCAGCATCCTCTTGCAATCGTTGGTGAAAGTATTTACCATATTTTTCCATATAATTCTGTAATATTCCATTTCTACGACATTCTAAATTGTTCGAACCAGGCCCTGAAACTCTTTATTTTCGAGTTTATGCCTCCAAGGAGCGTAAAACATCGAAAACATACACGGACCATGCCATGTTGGTTCTAGTCCATGATAAGTAAATAAATTTTGGATGAAAAATGAAATTTCATGAGTTTCAGGAGCTACTTTAGGGCCTCCATATTCCCGTGGTAAAATTTGAAACGAATCGATACATTCAATTCGGAGAATACTTTTCTCAACGATTTGACTTCTCATATATACGTATATAAGCTGACTCTTTCATATCACCTTAAGTTCAAAATTGTTCATTTTGACGATACTGCGAAATACTGACAATAACTTATATATTGTAGGTCAATGTTATGGGAATTCACCTAGTCCGGCACCTACGCCGATGAAACCGATTCCACATGATCCGATTATGCGAATCACCTCGACACCCCGATCGCGAATATCAGGTAACGATGAAAATAAATTTCAAATTTATGGATTAGAAGACTGGAAATTAAAAATCGGTCCTGCGTCCAGTTTTTCACGTTTAATAAAATTGTGTGTACCGATGATCTACTTAATGAGTCGTTAATCTTCCCAGATGACACCATTGTACCTATGAATATTCTTTAAATCTTTTAATATATTCTGGATATTTGAAATATTCTGTATATACATTCATAAGCTAGAACATGCTTTGAATATTCTCAACAATTTTGTGTTCCATGAATATTCACCGCATGTCTTAAATATTTGCATCATATTCTGAGAACAACGAAATATTCGACGTGAATATTCCTAGACCGTTCATAGGATCTAGGAGTACTATCCGGGTTTCAAGGATAATTATACTTGAAAAATCTGTTATATTATATAATATTATATTATATAAATATAACAGTTGCACTGGAATATTATGCAACAAAATGGTATAAAGTAGTAACGGTAAATTAATATCTTTTATTATATTTTCACAGTTGGAACGACTACAGAAATGAGCAATGCTATTCCTGGATCTGCAAACTGGAGGACACCGGGGAGCACGTTACTCGTCGTACTGTTCGTTCTCATTGAAACAGTGTTTCAATAACGACACTGCCATACCGAACGTACAATAGTCTAGAAAATGAATCCTATTTTGCTACTCCCAGCAAACATTGAAATTCCGCGCTCGACGCGTCGCGGAATCGTCTCTAAGGTAGATAGGTACACAGAGTATTTAATGATTAACTGCAAGCAGCGAAACCATTGTAGAGAGTATATAACTATATTTTGTACTATAGTATAGTACTCGATTTTATACTACGTAAGTTCGACAAGCGATACGATAGTCGAACAAAGTGATGGAATATTAAGAGATCCGGCACCGATTGCCGGTACATATCGAAAGTATCTTGATATTAAAATCGCCATCATACACTGCAAGTGTCTCTTTATAAAGTCATAAACAATTGTGCGTGTTTTATCATACACTGCAATCAACGTGTAAACAATAGCCGATAATTGCTGTCAATTTGCAGGCAATTTGCGGGTAATATGCACCTCTCTTTCTAAAATTATGAAAATCTATGCAAACCGTACCGCAATAAGTATCGTAATGATAGGACGACGCGTTATGGCCAATTCGCGTTAACGCATGTATATATGTAACGTTTGATAATCTCGCGGGTTGCTCTTAAAGTGGTTCCCCTTCTAAAGTTCCCTTCACCACTTCAGTTATTTATTGTATATTTACCAACTGTATAGATACCTTGCCGGCAAATTGTCGGTAATTCAATATGCAAAATGTTAAATCGGAAACACCGTTAAATGAAGAAGAAGTGCAGTAGAAAAATTGCTGATTGCAGCAACTACAGATGCCATGCAATCAAATGATCTACCCTTGTAAAACTGCGCTTTGTACAAAAGTTCTCAAGTTAATCCGAGTCTGAAGAAGTTGCAACGTTTTTCATATTTATTTAATGTAAGAATACAGCATGGTATGGTATTTTATGTAGTGAAAGCAGTAACGAATGAGACATTTGGATGAAAGAAATAAGAGTAAACGATTTGGGCTCGGATTAACTACAAATAATTTTGCTTTTAACACCGGATTTTTACAGTGTAATTTTCAATGCCTGCGATCATGCCAACTCCAACGAATGAAACTTTATGCTATTTATTTATTTAGTTTACTTATGTATGTACTAATGCATTAGCTAAGCGTTTTAATCCGAGATCAGTGAACATAGTGTCTTTTTCTAAAACAGTCAATATCCAAATCATACAAGTAAATAAGCACAGCAGTCCTTCGGTAACAGGCTGCTGAAGTACAAAAGTTTCGAGCGATTCAATCAAGTGTTACTTATTGTATTTAAGAAAATCGTTGAAGTTTTTATAAACTATTAATAAGGAACGAATCCTTTCTTATGAATTAAACCCCTTGGTTGAGTTGATTGTAACCAAGTAACCTGGATCTACGCGATTTACCATATTATACGATAAAATTACAGTCGAAAATTGCGTGCACAATGACTTTACATTGCTAGTGCATGTAAAATCAAATGTAAATAGTTGTATACTTGCTATACTATTTATTAGTGTACTCAGTCGGTGGAATAGTCCAATTTAAAGGTGCCCACAGACTTGCCAAATGCTCACAACGAACACCGGAGATTGCCAAAAAATGAACATTAATTTTCAAGCTTCGCTCAGTGTCATTAAAATGAACGGTTGTTTAAATTCGCGTGAAACAATGTGCCTGTTTAACAAAACGAAAGATTTGGCAAGACACAATGGCCTATCTTTGAGTTTGTTCTTTTATTTCGTGCTCCAATTATCTGAGAAAATATTCAGTGCTACATTTCTAAGACATGTGAATTTTGTCGAAAAAGTAACAAATATATCTGGAAATATGTTTTTAATGAATAAATTCTATTATAGTTAAATAAGTACAACCTATGCAACGTTTTTTATGCAATACAGAGATAAATGTTTCTAAAAATCACATAACTCAACTCTTAGTGAATAGAAATACCAATTGGAGTTCAAAGTAATAGAATTTTATACTTTCAACAATGTAATGTAAATACCTTGATTAATTTGACTGTCTGATTGAAAACGGCAGTAATAAATTTTATGCTGTATAAAGAACAAGAAATATTGCAACATAATTTTATAACGTACTTAATTATTGTTTATTTCATCAATTTTAATACTATTAATCAAATAAAGAGTATGTTCTGTAGACATGTGATGCTAAAAAATTAGTTTATTTTCATTGTATTTCTTAGACAAAAGTATATATTCATTATAAAATCCTCTTGGAAGTTTGGAGTATAACAATCATTCAGGAACCTTATCACACCATTCTAGACATTTAGTCTCATATTTTAAAATATTATTTTTTACTTCTATACCCCAAGCATACTTATTACTACCAGATTTTCCCATTACTCGATGACAAGGTACTAAATACGCAATTTGATTAAACGCAATAGCATTTGCAGCTGCTCTAACTGCCTTTGGTTTTCCTATGGACGCTGCAATTTCTTCATAAACAGTCGTCGAACCCGTTGGTAAGGCAATTAAAGCTTTCCAAACAGCAATTTGAAATTCAGTCCCCCTTAATAGTATGCGAACAGAATCATCGGGAAGTTTCGTGTCTTGTGGAAAAATGTCTTGAACGATACTTTTCAATTTCGTTGATTCTTTTGCAATCTGTGCCCCTGGCCATAGGTGTTGAAAATACTCCAAAGATGTGTTGTCATTTTTTATGACAAAAGATAAATGACACACGGCTTCATCGATTGTCCCAAGTAAGCATTTCCCAAAAGGAGTGTTGCAATATGTATACGATACATTCAATTTAGAGGCACGTCTTTTGTACTCTTCTGGTGTCATAATTTGTACCACAACCATTATAATTATTGACACAATAAACTTTACTTTCAAAATATACAAAACTCCAATACTCGGAAATACCAAGTTAGACTTCCATTTCCACTCGTTTCTTTTTTGGATTCAGGATCATGGCAGGGATCCGATTCTGGAGTTCGTACGATCAACTTTCGCATGAGAATTGACGGTTTTGTATTTAACTTTTAAATGTTGACCAACGACGCAGCTCATAACAATACGAAATTTTTCATGTGAATCTATACGTATGCGAAAAAAATCCGTATGAACTCGAGAATAGAGGAATGATTGCTGATGGCAGAGATGAGTTGGGAGATTGCTCACGGGCAGGGTCGCGCGAT